ATTAGTTGATGTAAATTCTTGATTATGTTGATGCTCTTTACTTTTTGGTATTTTTTAGAAAGGCTTTCTAAAAAATACTTTCTCCTTCATTTCAACGCTGGTGAATCTGGCGATTATGTGCCCTGAGGTTGGTCTTCTTGAGGAATATCTTTGTGGTGTTCTCTGTATTATCTGGAGTTGAATATTGTCCTGCCTTGCTAGGTTGGGAAAGTTTTCCTGAATAATATCCTGAAGCGTATTTTCCAGCTTGGATTGATCCTCTTCGTCACATTCAGGTACACCTATCAAACGTAGATTAGGTCTTTTCACATAGTCCCATATTTCTTGGAGACTTTGCTCGTTCCTTTTTATCCTTTTTTCTCTAATCTTGTCATCTTGTTTTATTTCATTAAGTTGGTCTTCAACTTCTGATATCTTTTCTTCTGCCTGATCGATTCGGCTGTTAAAACTTGTACATAGTTCACGAAGTTCTCATGTTGTGTTTTTCAGTTCCATTAATTCACTTATATTCCTCTCTAAATTGTGTATTTTTGTTAACATTTCATCAAACCTTTTTTCAAAGTTCTTAGTTTCTTTGCATTGGGTTAGAACAAGTTCTTTTAATTCACAGAAGCTTCTTATCATCCACCTTTTGAAGCCTGCTTCTGTTAATGGAACACAGTCTTTCTCCATCAGGCCTTGTTGCGTTGCTGATGAGGAACTGTGACCCCCTATAGAGGGAGAGGCATTCTGATTTTGGGTATTCTCAGTCTTTTTAGGCTGTTTTCTTCCCTTCTTTATAGATTTATCCATCTGTGGTCTTTATAATAGTTGGGTTTCTGAGTGGACGTCCAACTTGTTGATTCCTGGTGCTAAAATCTGAGCAACCCACTGTGCCGGCCAAAACAGCGGCATTAAGATTGATGGTACTTTTCTGACTCTGCACCAAGAACTGCCGCACCAAGGCAGCGGCAAAACCGCCTCGCCGGCCTCAAGAGTCGCGCTGGCGACCCATGGGGCTCCTCCGCTGGGAATCTCCTGGTGCGTGAGCAACAAAAATTCGTCTGAAAGTGTGGCGTCCTCTCGTTCTCTGTGCTTTCACTGGGAGCTACGATCCTGAGCTGCTAGTGATCAGCCATCTTGGATCTCTCTCCCTATTTATTTCAGGTCATGCATTACTTACGCCCAGAAGGCTTCCTTGCCTCATCCCTACTTTGAATTTGTGTTTGGTGCACTTCCTGGGCCTCCACAGCCCCCTGGGTTTATCCTCATAAGGCTAGGCATGGTGGTTCGTGCCTGTAATCACAGCACTTTGGGAGGCCGAGGTGGGCTGATCATTTGAGCACAGGAGTTTGAGACCAGCCTGGTCAGCATGGCAAAACTCACATCTTGTTTGTTTGGTGTTTTTTTTTGTTTGTTTGTTTTTTGTTGTTTTTGTAAAGAATTTTTTTTGCAGTCCTTTTTAAAATATCAAGTTGATACAGCATAAAATGAAATGTAAAGAGTGGTCTGGTGAAGGAGGACGGTGTATGCTGGGATTTTTTGGGGGAAGCTTGGGCAGTGTCACTGATTTCGCAGACTTGGCCTCAACTTGTGACAGAAACCCGTCTCTACTAAAAATACAAGGAGTAGCTGGATATGGTGGCACATG